TAGAGAGAACTTACACAGACTGTCTTAGTATTAAATGCTTCCACTTCAAAAGAACACTTGCATCAGGGCTTTCCAGGACTTTGACCCAGGTTCAGATCTGCAAAGGCTTGTCTCACCTGTTAGATAAAGTCGCATGGAAGAAACTGTGGGAAGACCTTGGGCTTCGGCTACTTTGCCTTTGAAGCTCCGCGTCTCCAAAGACCTTACCACCTGTAAAGGAAGTTTCATTAGGAAGTTATTACTACACAGTTAGGAAACTGGCTTAGAAACAAAAATATTCTTCAACCTGTATGTAATACATCCACCATGAAAATGCCTCAAAATGCTTGTGTTGCTATGGAGAATGAAGTTATCCTCTTCAAGGCACCAAGTCTCCTCCACGCACTGACACGATTCTCACAGCACTGAATGAACATGACCATGACCCATCAGCCTGCCATGAAGAAATCTCCCCACTAACTACACACGACCAGTTTCTGGCCTTCACTGTACCAGTCCAAGGATATTGATAAATACCTGCTGTTCAGGGTTAGAGAAACCGTGTATAGGGGCATGTTAGCATTTAACCACAATTCCAGAAACCTGTGTCCTTGTTCGAAGTGTGAAGTCCCATCATTCTACAGCTTCTCCCTACCTTTGGGTTTCTCTGGATTCAATTTACTCCCCCAGATTAGTGAGTGTATGCATCTCTGTTGTAGACATCAAAGATGTCATGGATCTGCTTGCTTCCCAGCCAAAAGCAGAAGCATCTGTATGGTTCCTGTCATCTGTCACTCCAAAGTGTTTCATTTTACAAAGATAAACAAATCCCCTGCCAGTTTGTATATAAAATTCAGAGCAGGCCAGGAACGGTAGCACACACCTTTAATCTTGGCCCTTGGGAGGCAAGGGCAGGAGGCTCTCTGTGAGTTTGAGGACAACCTGGTCTATATAGCGAGTTTCTCTCCAGCCAAGGCTGTGTAGTGAGACTATGTTTCCAAACAAAACAAACAAAAAAATCAGAATGATTCAAAAGCATTTAGAAATCTAGAACTGAATAAGAATAATTTAGATAAGTTTTCAGTCTTCAGGCTAGAGTTTAGAGGAAGGTACAGAATATTATCTATCTATCTATCTATCCATCCATCCATCCATCCATCCACCCACCCACCCACCCACCCACCCACCCACCCACCCATCTATCTATCTATCTATCTATCTATCTATCTATCTATCTATCTATCTATCTCTAGACATATAAATGACAGACCATATGTAGATGTAGATGATGGTGATGATATAGACATCGATATATAGAAACAGAAAGTTTTATTGTAAGGAATATGATGACAGCAGCTGTGAGTGCTGTCTTCAGGGTGGGCTAGCCAGCTAAAGACCCAAAGAGCCATTGTTGAATCCCCACTTTGGAAGCTGCATTGTGCAGACTTTCCTCTCTTTCAGGGAAGCTGTGGTGGTGTGAATAAGAATGGCTTCATAGGTGCCTATCTTTAAACACTTGGACCCCAGTTGGTGGAACATTCTGGGAAGGCTTTAGGAGGTATGGCTTTGTTGGAGAAGGTGTGTCACTGGGGGATAGGCTTTGAGATTTCAAAACCCCGTGTTATTCCCAGTGTCTCTCTGTGCCTCATGGTTGTGTCTCAAGATATACAAGACAAAGAAGGCATGGGGTTGGATGTGGAGAGGTGGGAGGATCTGGGAGGACTTGTAGAAGGGGAAAGTGTGATCAGAATATATTATGTGAATATAATATATTCTGTCTCTCACTTGGTTGATGTTAGTTTGCAGCTAACATCAAGTGAGCAGCCTGATCTTCCACAAGCTCCCACCATGTTGTATTGTGCCTCCACAGGGCCAAAGAACCCCTGTGATCTATCTGAAACCCCTGGAACTGTGGGTCAAGTACAGTTTTCTTTCTTTCAAGTGGAGTATTTCAGATATTTTGTCACAGTGATGGAAACTAATTTAAAACAAACACCCTCACAGAAACATCCAGAATGATGTTTGAGCTAACATTTGGGCACTATAGCTCAGATCAGACAACTTGACATGTAACATTGACTATCTCACATGCTAACCCATGTCAACCTGCCACTACTACATCTCTTTAAACCATATTTAACTTGCCAGTAAAGACAAGGTCAGACTTCAGCCTAGCACAACTACCCAGGATACAGCCAAAAATGCAATCTCCCACAGAAGGTATAAAGTTCTTGGTGGTGCACACTCTTTTTTTAAAAAGCCACAGCTTAAATAAAATGGTGAAAAATTTGCCATATATAAATGCCAACTCCAAAGTCAGTGTAGCTTACATATCATGAAAAGGGATGCGTAGAATAAAACAAATACATTTGCTTAACACATATGGGCAAACATGATGTTCCTGACAAGACTCATCCTAGCTTCTGTATTTGGTCACATGTTCACAGGTGGACTTATACCTACCTTCTTCCTACCACATAGTTCATAGTCTATAAACAAGCTCTTCCGTTGTACTTGTTTTCACCGGAGTTGGTTGACCCAAATCATCAATGCTGGGTGGATTGGACATTTTATAAATATCCCTGCCTTAACTGGGTTTGCTATGATTTTCCATCAGCCTCCATCACTGGGCATAGGAATGTTGAAAGACGCCTTAAGGAATTCGCTTTATCCTAGGTACACTCTTCCTTCCCTCCTTTGGAGGAGCAGCCCAGCATCCTTGTGGGACTCAGGATCCGTCTTTCCAGTCATCACAGTAGCTCAACTTTTCTTTTTTGACTCTAACCAGGACCAGCAAGTTGTCCTTCAGTGACAGGTTCCTGAGAAGGAAGACCAGGCAATCAGACGATAAGAATATAGAAAAGTTTGGGATCAAGAGGTCTTGCATAAGCTATGTCTTATGCCAAGCAAATGAAGTACCACATTTTATATGCTATTTGTGGGGGAAAACTGGACAGAGTCAACAGAAAGCCATCATACAATGGGACAAACCCAGCAAGAAGCTAATCACCCAGGGTGGGAAGAGTTGGGTGTTTAGGACCTGAAGCCACAGATTTCCTAAGGCCTGGCCCCAGGCCATTCTCCATTCATCAGGGCCTCAAGGAAGGCCCCAGGTTGATCTAGCCCTCAACTGCCTCAGCTGCACAAGGAGCTGACTGTGGCCTGTGGCAGTCATAATTTCCAGTCCCTCAGCACCACTATTGCGTCTCAACTCAGGCATCCTCCCTCTGGACCCAGTATCTCTAGGCCAGCAGAACATAAGGTCTTAGGAATAAGAAGAAGCTAAGCGTTTGCTGGTGTGTCATTAGAAGCTAAAGTGAGGAGTTTTAGTATCATGTTTATTCCTTGGTTCCTGGACCATGACTAATGATCTCGGGAGAAACACCATGTATATTTGATAATGATCGAGAACTCGTGCAGCCTTCTGAAGAACCTTGCAACATCGCCTCCAAGGTGGTTTTTCAACTAAATCTGTTAAAGGCCATTCCTCCTCTCTATCCTGGTAGCTTCAGGAAACTGGAGAACATGGTAAGACAATGAGTTCTGTGTGTGGTGCTCATCATCATTAGTTTATTTGCTGTAAAGTCAGTTTCTTGGTCAGAAGCAATGTTTCTTCTGTGTGGAAGTCCATCATGTTGGATAAGACATTTTATAACTCTATGGGGGTGGGAGGACAGTATACTTTTTTGCTGGGAGGTACTCAGTGTTGATCTCTGTTGCTGGCAGAGTAGGCATTCAGCTGTGCTGTAGCCAGGTCAACCTTGGGGAGTGGAAGTCCATGTTCAGCACATGAAGAACTTCCTTCCCACCACCATGGCCACTTTGTTTAAGAGCCCACTGGGCAGTGAGAATTCTGGCTAGGGAAAGAGGTTGGCTGGTATCCATAGGATGGGTATCGTAATCACCCCTCCTTACTCTGGTGAACATTCATTGGGAACACCATATCAGAGAATTTCTATCCATGTGTCTCTTTTATGGTCTTCCTCATGCTCATTTCCTCATGAAAATGGTTTTTCAAGACCTCAACCATCCAGACAAACCACTGCTAACAGCATAGGAACTGGTGTGTTATTGAAATCTGGCCATTCCTCCTTCTAAACAAACAAACAAACAAACAATAAAAAAAACCCCACACTGCTTCACATGAGCCATGAAGAGAATTTACTCTAGAATTAAACAAATCAAAAAAAAGGGGATTGAAAACTACCAGAGCCAAGAAACTTGCACACTACCTTGTAGTTTATAAATTATGCTGCTTGTGAAAGCATTTGGTGTACCTAAAATATCGAAAGGCCCTGGGAATGACAGTTAACATTAAAATGGAGACAGCAGTTAATGTTCCAGGGACCCTGGAAATTTTATGTATGTTCCTAATCCAAGGACCCCAGCAAATGTTCCCACTCTCCTTCTTAAGCTTTCCAACAGTTCTTCCCACCATGGCTGTTCTGTATCTGTCCCCTTGGGACTTCTCATCACACCAATTATCACTGTCACCTCCCAAATCCATTCCTCACCATTACAACCCAGCCGCACGTGTCACACTAACTCATGCCACTGTTGGGCATGTGGAGCTGAGCCTAGAGGAGACCCACTGAGATTTCAGGTCTTTGTGTCTTGGAACAAGGAATCAAACCGAAGACACACAATAGTGATAGAAATGGGGACGGTTTTCTAAATACCAGAGCAATGTCTCCAAGAATGGAAGTGGTCTAGAGAGTCCTGAAAGTCTTACTCTCCCTCAGCATCGTGACCATTGCTAGATTGTTTAAGTAGCAGCCACTTTCCCCCACATTTGGAGAAGCAGGAATTCTCATGCATTACACACACACACACACATACACACACACACACACACACACACACACACAACATTGTAACCTTGGTGGAGTGAAATTTCTAGTCCTTCTGTCAATGTCTTTTGCACATTAATCTTGATATCTCGATCTCGTTTTTCACCCTTATTCTCCTGTTACACCAAGTCCATATTAACCATCCTGAGCATCTTTCTATCTTCATCTCCATCTTAGATGCTGCCACCATCCACCCAGTTGCTCAAGACAACCTGAATCATCCTTTTGTTATCTGCACATCCAATTGGTCATCAGGCTTTGTCCCGGAGGTACCGAGATACACTGTATTTTTCCACATCCTTCTCCACTACCCTCTCCTATACCTCACCATATCTTCTGGAATGTTCTTAAAGCCTTCGGAGTGGACTCCATGCCCCCAGGCTTAACCTACCTTCCTCCATCCTTAGCACTCCTCCAAGGGGATTTCCTTATAGATTTATTTGCCATCTTCACTCAGAATTCTTCAACAGCCCCCCATGGCCGGCAGGGAACACTGTGTCCTTCCTGATGCCGCTCTGTCAAAATAGCTAGCCTCCTGAAAGAATGAGGTGTTCCACCTGCACAAACTTCTCAGAGAGTTCTGGTTTGTCCACAGCTAGAATAGAATTAGCCATGTTCAGGTTATTGAAATATTTTTCAACATATGAAATATGTCTTTCAAACAAGTATACTCTCACTTCTGATGGACAGGGTCCCTGCTATATAGATCCTGATTCCTGGGCTGTGTTGGAACAGGAGGAGGGCCTGTGTCTCCTCAGGGATGCCCATTGGAACCTCTAGTTGCAGGCTGAGGGATCCTCCAGGCTCCTTACAGCTGCGACCAAGTCCCAGCACTACGGCCGATGAATTGGCTGCCTGCGCCATGTCTTTCATCACAGCCTGTGAAAGTGAACCCACTCCCAGTGCACTTCCGCTCCTCCACCCAGCGCACTCGGTGTCTACAGTCTCTCCTGGTGAGGATCCAGCATCTCAGCTTTACTTAAAAGTCCAAGTTGGTGGGTGCCATCCGAGGGCTGGGAGAGGAGCGGGACGCCATCCGAGGGCTGGGAGAGGAGCGGGACGCCATCCGAGGGCTGGGAGAGGAGCGGGACGCCATCCGAGGGCTGGGAGAGGAGTGGGATGGGGACACCATCCGAGGGCTGGGAGAGGAGCGGGACGCCATCCGAGGGCTGGGAGAGGAGCGGGACGCCATCCGAGGGCTGGGAGAGGAGCGGGACGCCATCCGAGGGCTGGGAGAGGAGCGGGACGCCATCCGAGGGCTGGGAGAGGAGTGGGATGGGGACACCATCCGAGGGCTGGGAGAGGAGCGGGACGCCATCCGAGGGCTGGGAGAGGAGCGGGACGCCATCCGAGGGCTGGGAGAGGAGCGGGACGCCATCCGAGGGCTGGGAGAGGAGTGGGATGGGGACACCATCCGAGGGCTGGGAGAGGAGCGGGACGCCATCCGAGGGCTGGGAGAGGAGTGGGATGGGGACACCATCCGAGGGCTGGGAGAGGAGTGGGATGGGGACACCATCCGAGGGCTGGGAGAGGAGTGGGATGGGGACACCATCCGAGGTCTGGGAGAGCAGCGGGACTCAGCCTCTCTACTTGCTTTCTGCTCATCACCTCCTTGCACGTAACTGTGCTGTCGGGTGCAACTGACTGATGTTTAGCTCCAATGCCTGCGTTTCAGTGAGCTGAATTTATCTGTGTGTTTATACAGGACCAAGAAACAGGACTCCAAGGGCTGGTGAGATGGCCAAGCCCGATGACCTAAATTGAAGCTCCAGAAGCCACACAGTAGAAAGAGTGAATCATCTCCAGCAAGCAGTCCTCTGCCTTCTACATGTGCACACACATGTCTCCCTGACAATAATTTTAAATGCTCTTTTAGAAAATGAAATAGAAAGAAACTGGCCAGAGACTCCTCTCCTGATCTGTGTGCCTGTCCTTCTGAAGCTCTCAAACACCAAAGATACTGCTGACCCAAGCCCCCAGCCCAACGCACCATGGCCACCCCAGTTTCTGTGCTGTTTGACTGAATCTGTGGAGAACATGTGTTCCAGATATGACAGAACATGGAACATGTTGAATGGTCATAGTACATCATTCAAATTTCAGGATTACTCCTGATGCCAAGGGATACACAATCAGCCAGATGTTGAATGGCTCTATTAAAAATCAGAATATCACTGGAAAAGCTAAGTGAGAAGCAAGAAGATTGGCTGGACACTGGTGGAAACACCCAACGCCCCCCCACTCACCATTAGTTCACAGGGTTGTCACTGTATTGGGCTATTTAAAGGAGCAGGACTGACAGGATATATTCATGAGAATTTATCACACTGATTTACATGAGCAGAATGGCCAACAGCTCACCAGAACACCACCAGCCACCAATGCCTCCTTGACCTGAGCTAGCAGGGGACAGTGCCTGCCCACAACACAGCAGGGCAAGTGATAGGGCCACACACAGCTCCCAGAGACATCTGGTCACATAGATGTCACACCCGTGGCCAAAAACCTCAAATACAATGAACAGAGCTGAAAACCTGTGCACCGAAGCTTCCTTCACGTCCAGTGTTGTCCTGCACACTGAGGCCATACCACGGCCACCCTCAGGAAAGCTTCCGTACACACCCAAGTCTGTAAGCACAAACAAAGATGCCGTTTGTCTGGCCCTGTGGAAACACAAACAAAAAGGTTAGCATTGGGATTGCTATGTTGGGAGTCAACCAAGCAGGGCTCATAGGGGCTCACAGAGACTGAAGCAGCAACTGTGGAGCCTGCATGGGTCTGTGCTAGGCCCTTGGCATGTATGTTATGGTTGTTAGCTTGGTGTCTTTGTAGGACTCCTAGTAGTGAAAGCAGGGGCTGTTCTTTTGCCTGTTCTTGGGAGCCTTTTCCAGCCTTGACATGAGGGATTATGCCTAGTCGGTATGTATTGTATGAGAGAAGAATAAAAGAAAAGATTGCTGTGTGAATTTATTTTGAAATTAACAGGTCTCTCACTTTATATACTGTTCAGTTCACTTTGTCAGTGTCTGATAAGGATTTTTGCATAGATGCTCATGAGAAATGTTGGTCCACGTTTGCAAGTGTTATGCACAGATGTGGGGGCTAGAGTTGACACGGGGTGTTTTCCTCAATTAGTCTCCACCTGATCTTTTGAGACCGAGTTGCTTACTGAGCTTGGACTGATTGGCAATATTGCCAGAAAGCCCCCACGGGAGACACTTCTGTCTCCCCTGCCCCTCATCCAAGTGCTAACATTACAGCAGTGTACTGCTGTGTTTTGTGTTGTGGAAATCTGAACTCAGGCATGCATGGCAAGCACTTCACCAACTCAGCCATCTCCTCAAGCTCTGTATTTTTCTTCTTGTAATGTTTTTATCTGGTTTTGATATCAGGATAATAACAACATCATAAAAACAACTCAGAGATTTTTCCCTCCCCTTTTATTTTCTAAGATTGGAAATATTTCTTTTCTACATTTATGTTATGATTTACTCTTTTAAGTTCAATTTCCTTGCTAGATTTTAACCCATTCAAATATCTCATTTCTCTTAGCTATGATTTTTTTGAGTTACAAAAACCAAAACAGAACAAATAAATAACAATGAAAAAAAGCAAAACAGAATCTGCCTGGGCAGATCCTGTGTAAAAACAGTTCAGGACACTAGCCATGTGCAGACAGTATTGACAATGACAGGTCTCACTGGTCCACCTGTCTCCACATTGGTTGATACGGACCTTGATCATGAAGGCTTCACAGGGCTTGACTCATTGGGATCCTGAGCTAGAGCAACAGCCTCAGCCTTGCTTGGCAGAGTCAGCAACAAAACACGATCCCTGGGGTGGATGATGAAGGCAAGTCAACAGAGTAGTGGTTGGGATCCTTTGGCTTCTTGGACTGAATCTCCATGATCTTCACAAGGGTCGGGATGGCCTGACCCTCTGATCACTGCCTCCACAGAATCCACCAGCATCTTCTCCAGGGCCCTCTGTGCTTTTGGCAAGACATAATTGACCCCCTCTGAGATTCCTTTTCCTGTGACCAGAGTTTTGGATGATATCTCTGTGCCATTTTCAGGGTAACAACCACTCTGGAATCCCCTGGGACTAGGAAAGAAAGAGAAGGGCCTCAGTGCCACATGGGAAATAGGGTTGCCGGCCTTGCAGAGGTACCTTTCAGCTATTATACATTTCATCTAAGCCCACTGCGTCGGACTGTATTGACAAAGTGCCGGCATTGTAACATTGCCTGGTACTGTATTTAGGGCCTTCAATAACTCAGCTTTTGTTATTGCTACTGACAGTCTATATTTTCTGTCTTTTATTGTGATCAGTCTTGCTAAAGGTTTATCAGTTCAAGCTCTCATTTCTACTCTACGGACAGTTTTAGCTTTATCTTACACATTCTCATATGCCTGTTTTAATTATCACCTGGCTTGAAATATTTCATGCTTTGTAACTTGGAAAGACTTAGGAATTTTTAGGAAAATTTCCAGGTGCATTACTGTTGTTGATTTCTAATTTAATTCCACTGTAGCCAGAGAATATATTCTGTAAAAAACAAAACAAAAACAAAAGTGAGCCTCTCAAACTTTGAAACTTACTCTGTCATAAAACATGTGTCCTGCCCTGATGAAAGTTCCATGTAAATTTGATATTGGCTATGTTACTCCTTTGGTGATGATATTGTTCATAAATGCCGATTCATTCTTGCTCTACCGTTTACTGCAGTGTATTTAAAACATCTGCCTGCGCTTGTGTATTTATTAACCCCACCCCAGCCCCAATTCTGCCAGGTTCCTTTCCTGTTCTACAAAGCTCTGTTCTGAGGCACGTGCACTAGGATTGATGTATCTCCTGATGAAGCGCCACCTCCTCATGGTTCTTCTTTTCTCAGAGTTCACTGTCTTACAGTAAAATAGCCACACCAGGTGTTCATTTTTGCATTGTTGCTTTGTTTTAAGAAAAACCATGTTTTTTTATATTTATTTTTGAGATTTTACTAACAGAACTGTTAGTGAAATGTGTTGATTACATTGCCTTTGATGCTGAGTACATATTAGAATTGCTTTCACATGTGACCTTGGAGAGGGTCTGATAGTCTCCACTGAATGGATTAACAAGGAGTGTAAAACTACAAAGTACAAGGCTAAATGTGAGTTCTAAATTATGTCAGATACAATGATAAATGCCATGTTGTTTGTCTCTAATTGTCCAAGGTGGATTTCACTGTAGAAGTTCTTTTCATAACAGTTTATTTCAAGAAAGGAAGTGAAGAGTGTTCATAAAAATAATTTTTTCTTCAAGTATAAGATATGGATAAATTTATTAATTTATCTTCACACAAAACCCCCACTTCCTGTTTAAAGTTATGAATTGAGGGGGATTAACAAATATCAGCTGCAGATCCTAGCATCACAAACCCATAGACACCATTTGCTCTTGTCAAGAAGATCTAGTCAAATCTAAAGGTGACACACAGCACAATTCCATTTGACATTCACGTTATCCATTTGGGGATCAGAATGTGTGTGGCCAAATACTGCTAGTGACAGGAATGAAAAAGCAATAAGTTCCAAGGGGAGCAGAGCTAACAAAATTACTCATGCCACCACTTCGGGACCAGTGTTGAACATAAGTGTAGACTTCTATCACTCACTAAGAGTTTCAAGACAACATTGGTATGCTGAGCAGCCAAAGTCCACAGAACACAAAAAAACACTGTTTGCAATGCAAAGCTGATGCTTAGACATGGGCAAGGTGTGGTGATTAAGCATCAGAAACAGTTGTGTAGAGAAGGCAAGAGTCTATGTAGATCAGGCTGGCTTTGAACTCACCTGTGTTGACATCTCTAGTGGGATTACCAGTGTGCATTACTACAATCAGCTAGGCTGTGTCATTTTAGGACACCATTCTTAGGCAGATTTATCTTTTCTTGAGCTACGGTATGTTGGGGAAGTCCTGTTTGTCAATAAAGCACTGCTGGCCAATAGGAATCTAGATAGGTGGGACTAGGCATCCAGGAGAACTCTGGGAAGGAGAAACACAGGAAAGTCCATGGGGTAGGAAGCCCGGAAACTTCTCTGGTAAGAGACATACTTAGATTAACAATTATGGGGTAATTACTTAAGTCAGAGTTAGCCAGTAAGAAACAAGCAAGGCCAACAGCTTCATAATTAATATAGCCTCCTGTGTGTTTATTTGGGACTGATGCGGCTCTAGAACCAGGCTGGCGGGAAGGCTTCTCTCAAGGAAATAGCTTCTCTTTACATAACGGTAGCCCAGGCTGGCATGGAATATGCTATGTAACCAAGGATGATGTTGAATTTCTGATCCTTTCTTTCCAAATTCAAGGGTTACAGGCATGCACAGCACCAGGTCCGAGCTGCTTAGCTACATCTTTAAAAATAGTCAATTTTAGATAATTTTCCCACTGATCATGGGTGAAGATGATTACTGAAAGTGAGTAATTCCTACTGTTCTCTGTAGAATTACCTGCAAAAAAGCAGGTCATCTGTCTAATGTCACTCGCAAGACACTGAATTATTCAATTTATTAGACTAGTGTAGTGATAAAATGGTTGCTCGTGTAACTGTTTTAGGGAAATTAGTTGCTTTTTCAAATTTCACCTTCAGTGGCAAGTTGGTAAAACCTTTCTAAATCAGATTCTTTTTTCTTTTCTAGACAGCGTTTCTCTGTCCTGGAACTCACTCTGTAGACCAGCCTGGCCCCAAACTCACAGAGATCTGCCTGCCTCTGCTTCCTTGGGATTAAAGGTGTGTACCACCAATACCGGGCCTTCTAAATCAGATTCTTAAATGAGAAAGAACAAGAGATGAACTCCATAAAGTTTAGCTTCGTCCCTTCCTAGGGAAGCCAACGTTTCTCCTGAAGTGCAAAGTCAGATTCCCTTCTCAGGACATGGGCTAGCAAGTGTTTTGTGTGGTTGTGTTTTGGACATGGAAGTGAGCATTCCAGGCTGTGTGAATCATTTGGTCTCTATTACAGTCACTCCGTTTCTGCCACTGAAGTGGGAAGAGTACTTAGACAGATGTATTCACTCAAGACTTACAGATGGTGTTTGTAGAGAGAATTTCTGCTTCCACTATAGACTATATACATAGGTGTAAAATATTGGCAAAAGTGAAAGTAGTGTATTTTAAAGCAATTATACTTCAGAATTTACTTTTCATACGCTATTGTTGGTATGGTTGACATGAATTGCTGGGAGTGGATAGTGAGTGTATTTGTTTTAAATGCTTTCATTCTGTTACATCCTCATTAGGTTGTTAAAAAGTTAAATTGGATACTAAATTGTATGAACATCATTTATTAACTTTACATTAAACTCTCAGTTCTTGAATGAAGACCTTATCTTTCAATGACAAGCATGATTACGTGATTCTTGATAGAAGAATCTTAATGCAGAGAGTTGGTTAAATTTAAAGTGTTCCTCGTTGAAATACAGTGACTTACTGCTTCTGAGTCAGCCATTGCATCAAACTAGACACCAGTTTCTTCAAGGTGACTCATAACTCTAGGTTAGGTCTGAAGCAAGGTTGGTCAACTGCCCCGCAGGCCAACTTTGGTAGACTACACCTTCAATTTCATCATTTTTAAAGATTTTCTTTCAATTGTGTGTGTGTGTGTGTGTGTGTGTGTGTGTGTGTGTGTGTGTGTGTGTGTGCCGTGTGTGCCGGGTCCACTGGAGCTGGAGTTGCAGGTGGTTATGAGCAGACGCGTACGTTGGGAACTGAACTTGGGTCCTGTGTTAGAGCAACGCCCAATCTTAGTCACAGAGCCATCTCTCCAGTTCACTTACTGCTTTTACTGTGCAACCTTTCCCTACCCACCAGGATGTGTTAAGGCATGTGTTTTCTAGTCTATCTATGTGTCTGTTCCTGTTTACTTTTACATAGATGTGATTTTTTTTTAGA